GAGAGAGAGAGAGAGAGAGAGAGAGAGAGAGAGAGAGAGAGAGAGAGGAGGGTTAGGAAGGCGTGTGGAGAGGGGGTTAAAGGCATGCCACAACCATGAATGCATCACCCATCATATCTGTTTTTGCGAGCGAAGCCGCATCAGGTCATCTAGTGCAGGTAACAGTTTCTCTGAGATCCCCTCTTCAGGAACAAACTCCTTAGCTGAGTAACCGGTGCAACGGGGGGGCTGGAATTAAACGGCCGTTGAAAGCCGTTTGAAGCCGTTTCCCCCATACCCCTGTTGAATTCCCATTGAATAAAAAACGGGGGCCCTCCCGCCGCTTTTTTTTTTCAACGGACAACGTCCGCGGGGGCTCGGGTGCGTGGCCCAGCACCCGCGTGCAATTAAAGTTCTGTGTGTCTTTTTTTTTTAATGTTTTTTAGTATTTTTAAATACATATGAAGTTAAAAGAAACAGTAAAAAACATGGGGTTGTAGCTCTCCAAAAGATATACAACCCTAGATGTTTTATTTGTTTTTTTTTAAATCTTTGCTTTTTCCTGCAAAACACATCTTTGTGAAAAAAAGGAAAACCCACCCATTTGGCCATTTGCTTGCCCAGTTGCCAGCCCTTTGGCAGTTCATTCGGTGTGCGTGCAGTAGACAGGTGCACCAAATTATTATAAGCGGACTGCACCTTGGGAAGATGCTTGTCCCAATCAATCTGGTCGGGCCTAATGTACATGTGCAACACTTGTCGGTGCAGTTTGTTCATCTGTGCAGTTTGGCTGTTGGTTTCCAGGTGCCTACCAGAGGACATGGTCAACTTTGACCCATATACCTTCATCAACTGTTGCCAGTGCTTGCACGTGAATCTGCTATCTCTATCACTAACAATTGTCAAAGGGTGCCCGTAGTTTTTAACCCAATGATTGAAAAACTCTCTGATCACTAAGTCAGTCTTCGCCTCAGCTGGCAATGGAATAAAAACAGCAAATTTACTAAATCTATCTACTACTACCGTCACTTTGACTCTTTCCGTTCTTGCTTTTGACCTTCGTGTCCATAAAGTCGATAGACACGGAGTCACGGGGACCGGACGAGACAGGTAGCGGTCTCAACAGTCCAAGGTGGGCCTGCATGGAACTCTTGTTCCGCTGGCATACTTGGCAGCTCTAGATGTAGGCGATGCAGTCGTGTTTCATGCCATCCCAAGTGTAGGACCGGATGAGATTAGCATAGGTTTTCCTTCAGCCGAAATGGCCCTCAGTGCCGTGGCACTCCCCCAAGATCAGACTTTTGATTGTCTCGGTGTTCGAGATGCACAGTCTGTTGAACCTGTCTGTCTTTTCGAACAATAGCCCGTTAGTTACTCTGCAGTCTGGGACTTCGTGTGGTGCACCCTGCACCCTTTTAATTAGCTTGTTGTAGACGAGAGTGTCAGTGTACGCACGCGTAATCTGTTGCTGCAGTTCGGTACCAGTGTCTAGGTAAGTTATTATGGCACCGAAAAAGTCAGCGCGTCACTCAGCGCGTCAGCGACAACATTGTACTTGCCTTTGACCAGCGTGACTTCAAACGCAAA